GGAGATTAATAGAAAAGTAATCGAAATTCGACATTCAGAATGATCATGTAATCAATCTAATTTTTCCAGGATGATTTTTTTATTTACTTTACCTACGTGCCACGTGACCCCACTCTGTTAAAGGATGTGGCTGATCTCTACTTCTGCTCCGACTTTGCAACCACACTTGATCTCTGGTCAAGTAGGACGATGGACTCATTCTTGAGCCTTACTTAGTACTACTTTGACGATGTTTGGAAGCTGCACCAGAAAGGCCTTTAGATGATATTTAAAACTTGTCAGTGAACTATGAGGGCAAAAAAAATTATGAATAAATAAAATAATCATTCAGTAATCATAATCGAGTTAAAATATTCAATTAATCGAGATTTTGATTTTGGGCCAAATCACCCAGCCCTAGGTTCCTATCACAGAGAACTAAAGCAGCTCCCATTTGAATTTTTATTCTATTTGGCTTTAAGTGACTAAACTTCTTTATCCAAATAAAACTGTGAAGTAACTAAAATAAGCAACTATAGCAGTAATTTATTCCACAGTCAACTTACTGTGTGCAAAGTTTCAATGTGCATCTAAGTGCAAATTAAATATTACAACATCTGACAAAAAAAGAAAAAAAATGTGAAGAAAACTCCATGGATATTTGATGTGGATGGTTACTTGCCTGAGAGAACCTGTTAAATATATACTGAATAAAGTCAAGTATAATATATCTATTTCTGCTCTACCCATTTTGTCACTAACTCTTAATAAACTAAGCAGATTTTTCCTCTTAAATGCAGTTATCTTCTCAACAGCAAAAACAATGTTATAGCAAAAACAGAGGGAATATTTTAGTGAGCACTGCAAATTATTTATTACAACTAAGTGCACACTTGAAAATGCAATACTGAGACATACGCAACCACCTTTAGCAGTGGTTAAGCACTATATTTCATTCTTTTGCTGAACATAAACAAATTAAAAAAATGATCTGCAAGATTATTATGCATCTAACGTAATACCAGCATACCCAGACTGTGGTGATGGAGCTTTTATACTTGTACCTGCAGACTGGGGATGTAGGTGATGTTGTCATGCTGACAACTAACTATGAATGTAGGTCATATAGTCCCATCGGTTCAACTGGTGTTGAGATAAAATCTGTAGCATCCCATTAGCCTGTTCTCTCAGTTGCTCATCTGTATACAAATGAGTTTGAGTGTTATACTTGCTATATTAATTATAATATTACATCTGGAGTGGGATTTTTTTTTTCATTTTATTTTAGGCTAAGGACAAGATCAGACACAATATGTTATAAATGTCATTGTTTGCACCATGCTGCTTTTATAAGTAAAATCAGCCCACCATTTTACTGTTTTGGCTTAAAGTTTGAGGTCACATGTAGCTGAATATTGTCAAACATGCACCAAATAAATCTTGAGAATTAAACCTCTCACTTCTCTGAACACCAAACCTGCAGAAATATCACATCTGAAATGCTGAGTGATATGGAAATGAGGTTTACGGCACTCTGAGCATGTTAATAATGCTAATCCTGGGATTACGGGCACATTTTCAAGGTGCAATTACATCACCAAGCATCTTGGGATCACCATAATCACAGATTGTGCATGAAGCTTCCGCATAATCCTGCCTCATCCTTATTAACTAGTTGGTGCCATCCAGATTCCTTTTAAATGACACTGTTTTATCGAAGGCTTTGTTTTCACTAATTCCACCTGCCCTCAGATAATAATTCCAATACTTTGTGTACTGCCGGTTTAGAAAAAAAAGGTTGTTAGTCTTTTTGACTGAAGTCTCTACAAGAGTGCATTTAATGATAATAACAATAATAATAATAATAATAATAATAATAATAATAATAATAATAAACAGAAAGAGAATAAAGACATTAGCTAAGATTGTGAAAGATTATTTTAGCCTTGAAAACTGTTCTCTTTTTTTAAATGTAATTTATTCCCTGAGATAAACTTTCAAAATCATTACAGTTTTACACAATCCTTTTACAGAAATCACTGTAATATGCTGATTTGCTGTGGGGAATTATTTTTAGTAATATGTCATAATTGATCCTTTAATAATGATTAAAAAAATCATTATGTAGACTTTTGACAATTTCTCACACTATGTTTTCATTTTACTTTTCAAAACCAGATTGATAATATCCCTATAGGCTCTATGCACAGCTAGAATTTTCATACCAACGATAAACTTTCGGTGAAAGCTTAATGTGACTATTTTCAATTTCACAAGGTTGTGTCAACAGCATCAATGTTGTAATGTATTATTTACAATAGATTCATTTTAACAGACTTAGGCATTCATTTAGTTGTTCAAGCGTAAAACTAGATGAAAGACAGTTGTAACCACTAGCGCCGCCAGTAGCAACAGGCTAGCGCAGAAATTCCAATGTAAATACTAAGGTCAAATCAAATCAAATCACTTTTATTGTGACATCATCAGCAGCACATGATGAGTGAAAAGCTTAGGTGCTATAGCTCCCAACAGTACAAAATACAGACAAATACAGTGCAAATACAACGACAGTGCAAAATACACACAGTGCAAATAAAATGACAGTGCAAAATACAAATGCATGCTCCCAAAAAAACAGGACAATGTAAAATTGACAGCGATATGTACAATGAATAGGTGTTCACATAGTTGAAGGAGGTAAAATAAACTTTTCAAAATATTTAATCTTTTAAAGACATGACGGGGAAAATGGCATTTAATGCAATGCTTCTTGTCTGACCTGAGACACACTTCACATCATATATCTAACAGGCAGTGAATTTTTAAAGAAATCAGATCTTAGACATGACAATTTTGTAATGGTAAGACAGTTTACCAGAAGCCCTTGGGCTGTCTGGCTGAAAATTAAAAGTCTCTGTGCATGGGCTATAGCTGCCAACCTATCCAGCATACAGTATGTTTTACACTGTGGATACCCTTCCAGTTGCAACCCAGCACTGGTAAACATCCATATACTCATCTACGGCCAATTTAGCTTATTCAATTCACCTATATTGCATATCTTTAGACTTTGGGAGAAACCAGAGCACCAGGAGGAAACCCACAGCAACACTGGGAAAACATACAAACTCCACACAGAAATGCCAACTGACCCAGCCGGGACTCAAACCAGCCACTTTCTTGCTGTTAGGTGACAGTGCTAACCACTGAGCCACCGTGTAATAACTTTTTTATTTTGTTAGTTTAAATGTACATATTTGATTGAAAACCTTTTAAACAATGCTTTGCAATGCTTTATCACCAATTGCAATTCCAAATTTGTATTTCATAATAAATGTATTATTTATTTAAATTTATCATATACAGCCAGTGGCGCAAAAAGGGGGTATGCAGTATATGCAGTGCATAGGGGCGCCACACATGGGGGGCGCCATTGTGACAAAACTATTTTTGAAATTATCCATATTAAAAGTTTCAAATAATGTATATATTTTTTGTTAAAAAAATGTATTTAGGATTTTATACGCGTATAATATTGTATTTTATTACATTAAAAAATCATTTCACCCCTCCCCCCATTTTTATACCACATGTTATTATGAATTTATTATGTATCATATTGATTCATCAGGCCTTTTGGTAACTTCTTAGCTCAAAACTATTTTAATTTTAGCTACAAACAAAGTTATAACATTTCAATTAAATAGAACATTTCACACTGTTTGTTTCTGTTTTTTTTACACTAAACATTTGACAGTCTTTTTTATTTCACTTTTAGCAGTTTCAGTCAATTGTTCTTGCAAAGACAGACCTTCTGCCTCAGTCTGAATGTGAGAAGTAATTGCAATGTTCTTTTGCCCTTTAGGACTCCCATGTCTATCATTTTGTTTTGACAAATGTACAACAACAAGTCCAAAAGCAAGGCTAGTCAAGGTGCTATAATCATTTAGTAAGTGAAAATTAAATTAAGAAGAAATTTGGGGTGGTATGAGATGCATTTCTTTGTGACTTAACATGCTTAATGTAATTATACCTTTTACTATACTTCAAACTATTACAGTTGTGTTCAGAACTGCGAAAAGCATATTTTTAAGCATATTGATATCTTTATGAAAAAATATCTTTAATTTATTGATGGAAATATTTTCCACATTTTATCACTTGCCTGTTATAAAATATAGTTGGATTGAAGGGGGGCGCGCAAAAGTTGTAGCCGCATACCCATCAGTACATGTGAAGTTGTGCCCCTGTATACAGCTTATTATATACAATAAATGTATTATAGAATTTAACTTTTTTAAAGATGTTATTGCACAACTTTCTACTACTAAAATATTACTATCACAAATCGATGGTACAAAAGCACACATACTGTGCAAAAATGATTATTGACAAAGGATGAAGGTCTTCATCCAAACATAAACTCCTTCAAACAGGCCTTTTATTAATTATTGGTTAAAACATATTATACCCAAGTGATATTATAAGGAGAAACTAAAATGTTTTTTGTTTTGTGATCATAAATTTGTTTTAAAATTAAACTTTATCAAAGGGCTCACCTGAATATCTCTTTCTGGATAGATGGAATAACTATTTCCTAAATGATTTATTCAGATAAATTTTGACAAAGTAAAGTTGACATCAAGGTACTGAAACGGTTAACAGAGGGGACTTTGTTTGAAATGCTTTTATTTTGAAATATACAAAATTTAATTTATAGTATAATATAATATAATATAAAAAAATTATTTTGATTTATATTTGACGTAATAATCTATATAAATCTTAAATAATGCTCTGGACTGGTATGTGTCGAATATATATATATATATATATATATATATATATATATATATATATATATATATATATATATATATATATATATATATACATTGTTATATGTTAATATTATTTAATTTCGCGAGTAATATCAGTCATTCCATTTTTGCGATGTTGTTTCTACAGAAAAAAATAATAATTTAAGAAAAGTGTCTTTTATTTTGCCTGTTGACGTCACATTGACGCACCGACGTCTTGTTTGTGATGCAGCGCGGGAGTTTCATTTTGTGCCTCATTTTATTTTTTGCTAATTTTACTCTTTCAAAAATGTAACTTTATTTCCGCGGTTATTCATTTTATACTCATCTAACGTAAGTCACATTACTCCTAACTTAGCATGCTAACGATAACTTAGCTTACGGTCGTTGTTTACATTCGGTACGTTAATACCAGTCAAACTTGAGAAAATAACTTTCTACGCTGTCAGTTTTGTCATATAAATGTTCGTATTAACCTTTAAACACTGCTTTTTACGTATGTAGTCGATTGAATCGTGTTTACTAGACACAAGTATCGCTCTTGTCAAGTGTCAGTTAAATATTAACGATAAATCAAATGGCAGTCAGTAAATGTTGTGTTTATCCACAATACACAGGCCTAATACACCGCTAATGTTTGTGTCCTCAGACTCTGACCTCCACTGGACACTGAAACCCACAGAATGGCAGCGACACCAGTGGAATATACCATAGGAGGGGTGAAAATAAACTTCCCCTGTAAAGCGTATCCCTCTCAGCTGGCCATGATGAACTCTGTAAGATATGTTGCACACTGACAGATGTGTTCATGTTTTACTCTTTACGAACAAGCATGCATGCCGTCCTTTATTTCTCACCCTAACATATTTATAAAGAAACTTGTAAAGAAGTTTAGTTAGTTGAACATGACGTGTCTGGTATTTTCATGTTTATCTTAGATCATTCGTGGACTTAACAACGGGCAGCACTGTCTACTGGAGAGCCCCACTGGCAGTGGCAAGAGTCTTGCTTTGCTTTGTTCGGCCCTTGCATGGCAGCAAGCTCAGTTTGGTAAGAAATGAGTCCATCTATTCTGTCTGTTATTGCAATGGTTTATACATAAATGGGAGATAAAGGTGATCAATAGCAACACATTGCATGTAAAAATGATTAGATAATTTCCATATCATTATAAAAATCTCTAATGGAATTAAATAAAATAATTAAAAATTCTTAAAAAAATTACTACAGAATTTCAAAACTGAAAGAACTGTTTAAAAGCTTATGGTATTAAAATGTTTATATAGAATGAATTGCATAATATTATTTTGTTATATATAAAGAGTTTAGATGCAAAAACCTCTAAATGGCACAATTTTCTCCTAAAATTATATATATTTTTTTAGCCACCTATATTTATATTTTGCTATTTCACGTTAAAGGCAATGAAAAGAACTTATAAATGAATTCTTAAACACACACAAGAGGCTGAGAAAATGCTTATTTTAGAAGAAAACAACAAATAGCATTTTGAGGTTTTGCAACTAAACGTCATATATTATATAATTTTTGCTGTCCCCCCCAGCTTTTTGATTCTGAAAAAAAAGGTTAATTTGATTGTCAAAAGTTTAAAAAACAATTTTTTTTTTTACCAGCCTTCAGTACTTAGTATTAGGATCCATTACCAATAATTCCATCATGCTGATGTGGTTTCATCATCATCATTATCATCATCATCATCATCATCAATAGTATCCATTGTTATTGTGAAATCCATGATACAATTTTATCATACTTTAATGGACCAACATGTCAAAAGGAAATCTCATTTTTAGCGCAATATCATTAGCCATTTTGGCAGTTAAATACCCAAGAACTCAGTGACATTTGTATGTTTGTGTATGTTTCATAGAGAATTTAATCTATGATTTTTTTTATCATACTGCATATTAAGTTAAGGAGCAAGATGCAGGCACTGGATTTGCTGACTGTAAGAAATCAGAAGTGGTTACTCCATGTCAGTGTGCATGCCATAGCCGAAATGCACAGTCCACTTTCAACACCAGAGCATCCAGACCACCTACAGTTCATCTTACGTGTGAAGGTACTTCCGCTCAGCCTACAACCCCTCTCTCAAAAGGAGGTAAGCGTTTAAAACATTTTGAATCGTAAGCATAAATTCTCGTTCACACTTGATAATCAAACTGTATACTCATTGGAAATGAACATGCAAGTAAGGCATGGAAGTAGCAGAAGGATTTCCACTTAAAGACAAATCCTTGTACATTGTTGATAAAATTAGTGTGACTGATGTCAAAGAGAAATCTGTTTATGATTTGTGTAATACATTTTGACTATAAAAAATATATTTTAATAGACTATATATATATTATAGACTATATATATATATATATTTATATTTAATAGACTATATATAAATATATATTAGGGATGGGAAGATTAACCGATATGTATCGATACGCGGTCTTGCGCGTGCACGATGCGAGTGCATCGGTAGAGCAGCAGAGGATGAATGAAATTTTGGAAGCAAATCGAGATGCATCGGTTTTTGCGAGATGCATCGGTTTTTCCAAGATACAACTTATATTTTTAATATAGAATGTATTTTTTATTTATTAACAAATTTGTCAACCTGTTTTTGGCGCATAATTTAATCGACCTACATAAATTATGCATTAGCAACTAGGGGTGTAACGATATTAAAACCGACCCGAAATATCGCGATACACCAGCCACGATACGTATCGCGAAACTCTCGTGGCGTATCGCGGAACTCTCACTCCCCCTGCTGCCCATTGTTGAGGTTGACGTCACTTGTCTCTAACTAATTGAACCAATTTAAACACATCTTTATTATCACATTTAATTAAATTGTTTTAGTAATGATGAGGTTTTGTTCTAAATATTATATTCTAAAGTTAGTATTTTAGTGCATGTCATGTCATGTGACTTGAGTGAGCATCACACTCGTTACTACTGGACGCAGGATGGCTGCTTCACATAGTACTGAGATTGCAGATCCCCAAGACACATTTAAGTCATCTGTGTGGAAACATTTTGGTTTTCCAGTTGAGTACAGGAATAGAATTCGTGTCGTAGACAAAGCGCACGCCTGTCTGTCTTAACTGTTTCACGAAACTTACTTGTAAGGAAAAACATTTAAAAAGTGTGGTAATTTCACAATGTGAGGGTGTAAGCAACAGAACTGCCAACAAAAGTGATTTAATGTACAAAAGTGAAACCAGAATAATGCCAATATACAAAAAAAGAGAAATATTTACACTAATAAAAATAATATAATAAAGTAGCAAATTCAAACAAAAGTATCAAACAGAAATTAGTTAAACTCGATAGTGATAGTGAAGACAAACAAAAGAAATAAATATAATAAAACAATTCTAACTCATGAATAACCCCTTATCTCGCTAAAACTGATGAAAAGAAAAAAAAAGGTCTTCAGCGCCGTGCGCCGCATTCTTCCCTATACTGAATAAAATAAACAAAGATGACCTTCACCTCTTACCTGATGTCTTTAGCAATAAATTTTCTACGTGTTTGCAAAATGGAAATCGTATGACATTTTCCCTATTTACCTTACACTAAGAGTGAACAGCTATATTGTCGGGAAGGAGCGGATCCAAAAAATAATATACAAATCAATTGAAATAAAAATGTACAAACCTCACAAAATTACTTAAAGTGGGCAAAAGTAATGCAAAATAATTTTGCCCAAACGAAAGTTAAGCAAAAACAACGAAAATCATAATCATGTCAGAAAAATACACGAAAAACAAGATCAAAGGAAAAAGCGCTCTCTCTACCGCTCTTCCTGACATGCTTTTTACATTCCCGCGCTGCGTCGCCAAATGATGATAGATCGGTCTCCTGACCAATCAACTGTCATGAAGGCGGACCTACAGAAATGACAGGCATCAGCTGTCATGAAGGCGGACCTACATAAATAACTGGCATAGAGTTAGCGGGAGAGAGAGATCAGGAGGCAAACATACAGCCGGCTACAACCCTAACATTAGTTTCAGACACAACTGCAATGTATTTAACTGGTGAATATGTCATGTAAAAACACTTTACAAACACATTATATGTACATTTTTTCATTAATTTAAACGGAAACCTATCTATCTAACTGAAACCATAGATAATCAAAAATGAGCGTGTGTGTCTGCACAGCGATCAAGTCTCTCATCGGAGAATGTGGATATTATGGTGTTTTTTAAGAAGATATTTCACTAGTCTACACTGCAGTTATTTATTTAATTTTAGTTTACTTAGTTAAGATGGCTGCACTAAAGAAAATAGTTTTTTTTTCTGACTAGTCTATATTGGAGGTATTTATTTAATTTTAGTTGTTTACTCAGGTATCCTGACTGTACTAAAAATGCGATGACAAAGTTAATAAAGAAAAAAGTTAAGATGTTCTTTTTATTAAGTGAATTGTCTCTTAGCATTGCTGTTAACATGACATCAACCCTAACCCCACAGCAAACAGAAACCGAACCGTACCGAACCGAACCGAACCGTGCCTTTGGTGTATCGTTACACCCCTATTAGCAACGGATTTGCGGATGTGTACACTTACACTACAACTCAGTGTATCAGGTGTGCGGATGAAGCTAGTAGTGCGCCCTCAGAAAGCGCGAGAAGCAAAACAAACATTTTATTTCTAACAGTTTTAAATCTAAAGTATGGCAACATTATGGATTCTGCAAAAAGGATGGACGACTTAACAGGACAGATGCAATTTGCAAAATGTGCCGCGCATCTGTAAAATACACGGGCAGTACGACTAATCTGAAATCTCACTTGAAGCGGCGCCTCAGTGTTGTTGTGGAAGCATCTTCCAGTGTTCCTGCATCCCCTGATTCCTGCTCTGCTTCAACTGTAGCTACCAGCTCCAAAAGTGGTGAAAAAAGCATTGAAAGTTTTCTCCATGCGCAACAGTTCTGCGAGCTCTACGCCAATAACGAATGCTATTGCATTGTTCATCTGCAAAGATATTCAGCCTAGTGTCATGGAGAACGAAGGTTTTAAACACCTCCTGTTAATTTTTATTTATTTATATTTTTATTAGCCTGTTGTTTACAGTGATAGTGATGTTTCAAAGCAACATAACACTGCTAGTTCACGACCTTAAGTTTTGAATATTCAGTGGCACAATATATCTTTGTAAAACTTGTTTTCATAGTTGAAAAGTTAAATCACAATTCTTGTTGTGCAATGGTAAACCTTTATGTTGAAAGAGTGCAAATATATACATTTATAATATATATTGCACTTATACATTCTGTTTATCTTGTAAATACTTAAATAATATGTGCTATAGGTTCTAAAATGGCCCTCTACTGTAAACTGACACTCTGGCTCTGAGAGAAAACCCAGTTTGTAAAAAAAGTCTTGGTTTTACTTGGTTAATAAATAATCAAACTCATTCAATGGCACAGCATCCTTTCTTACATCATTTCATAAACTTGATCTAATAAGTTAGTGCTGAATTATCGCATTGTATCGTGATATGGGTGTAAATCGTATCGTGTTGCATCACAATGTCACAAATGTATCGCTAATATATCGGATCGTATTCTTTGTATCGAGATGCGAATCGGATCGGCATTATAGCTTAGATGCCCAACCCTAATATATATATATATATATATTATATAAAATATATATATATATATATATATATATATATATATATATATATATATATATTTTTTTTTTTTTATCCTTTATTTTTATGCCAAGTACAGGAGTATTTCAACTTATACCCACTTCAACAAACCCAGAATACACTGCCTAGTATATTGACAGTAATGATAATAAAATAATAAAATAGTAAAGACAAGAAAAAAAAAATAAAAAAAAAAACAGCAAAATTGTATAAGATAAGATAAAATAAAGTAATAATAAAAATAAATAAATAGAAAACAATAATGGGTGGTACAATTAGGAATAGTGCTGTGCTATATTACAATAGTAGACTATCATAGACTAAGCATGAGGGTCTGTACAGAGACAGAAAAAGGAAAATACAGCTGGATACAAGAAAGTCACATTATTCCCCAGGAAGTACATTTATAGCAGAGAAGTATAATTATAAGGGTTGCCAACGTATAAGAATTTGGTAGAACCTTTAATTGAATATTTTTTCCCAAGTGAAAAAACGCTTAAACTGCTTATCTATTACCAGTGTTGCCATGTGTTTAGCCAATACTGCAGATATTGCATTAAAAATACATGTAAACTATATTGGCATTCACACCAACATGATAGCATTCATGTTAATTATAAGAACTCTCTGCAGTTTTGTAATTTTCAATTTTGAATTAACTTGCTATTTGAAGAACGTTGGATTCTGTTTGGCTAGCAATGTTTTTAAAAATAACAAATAATAATAAAATAATTCCCCTGTGGTATAAGCTGCGTCCCAAATCGCATACTTATGCACTATTCTATGCCATTTTGTAGTATAAATAGTGTAAGTAGTGTGTTTACACTGAAAACTAAAATAATAAGTGCACTTTAATTACCCGGATGATGCACTCATTCAGCTGGTAAAATTAAGTGTGGAATGATGGACATTTTCACGCACTCAACGACCGCAGGTTTGCCTACGTAGCGGAAGAGGCGGAGCTATCGGACGCACATGTTGGATTACTTTATTTATTTTGGATGGTGAAAGCAAAATTCTCCTACGAGAGGGATTATAGCGCCTCCCGATGGTGAATGTGGCAATACTCACGGCAGGTATTATTTGATAATTCGGTCGTTTATTTCACTGATTTGGCAACCGTCAAATGCCATTAAGGATACGGTTTGAATTTCCGCTTAGTAAAAAAACATAAGTGTGCCGTTTGGGACGACACTACATACATATACTATCCTGTTAAGTGTGTAAGTGAGTAAATATATAGTGCATAGTGTATAGTGTGCCATTTGGGACGCAGCTATAGTTATGGTGGGCTCTTTTCTTTTAAATCTAGAACCGTTTTTAAAAAGGTATATACAGAGACTATAATTCAGTAACCTTATATAACTGATGTAAATTATGCCTATTCAAACCAGTAATTTTTCGAAGTATTCAAGTATTTTAAACAATTCGTTAAAATAGCTGGCTTATAGGAATCGTAACTTACAGTAGATAACCCCTCAATGGTCTCAAACTTACAGTCATTAATTACAGACTACAGAATGCGGTGTGGAACAGTATTTAGGTTAAGGTTCACCCAAAATCAAAATTAAGACCCAATCCCAATTCTAACATTATAGCAGACACTGTAAAAAGGTCATTGCAAGCCACTAGACTTTTCTGACAGGGTATTCGAGTGTCATCGAACAGAATGTTGTGGGACTGCTATACAGTTATTATTATTATAGGGATTATTGATAGAGAAATTTAGCAGTATTTATTTTAGCGTTTTGTTTTTAAAAGCATGATGGTAAAACATGAACGTGATTATGAATGTTAAAACCTGCTTGTTTGTTGTAAAAACTTGTAATAATGGTCAAAATTGCTAATTTGTGGATCTCCTTAATTCCGGGTGCAGCTATTCTGCCGTTGCGGCTGGTGTATTCTGGGAAATTATCTTACTCCTTGGTTTCGAGTGAAAAATCTCAGTTCGAAGGGGTAATACACCCTTCCCCCTTAGCCCTACACCTTCAAGCTAAACAGAATTGGGACAGCCCTACCTCTTCATGTGAACGGGTAAGGGAAAGGGCCAAGGGGTAAAATTGGGTTTGGGCCTAAGTAATTTACTCATTCTGCTCTTTTAAGTCTTAATCCATTCTTAATTTTTCTTCCACAAAAAAACAAGCTTACAAGAAATAATTTCTTCCTGTACCTGTAAATATAATAGCAGCAAGGATTATATGCAGCACTTGTTGATTAGTCAAAGTCTTTGTGAGGTATATGAAAAATGAACTGAAGTTAAGTGTATTTTTTTTATACAAATATTAATTTATTTATATATGCAGCTTAAAAAAATGTATAGAATACTATTAATGTGGCTTCAATGTATTGAATAGCTTCAGACTGAAACTTTTGTTGTTAGATGAGTCAGAATGACAAACATGATAACGTGTTACATCACAAATATATTTGCTTTAGAGTATATGGATTGTGTTTTACATTACATTTCTTTAAATTGAGACTTTTTACACTTTGTGTCCTGTTACTGGGTTAGAGTCCAAGGCTTTATACTGATTTTTATTCACTACCCTTGTATAGATGTGAGCAAACCGTACCAATTTTTACAAAATCATATTGCGTGTCTGAAAAAGCAAGAAGGGTTTACTGCATTAGAATTACAGCAGTATGAGTTAATGCTGACATTTTGGGTTATTTATTATTCTCTTATGTATGCATCCTTGTTAAATTAGGCAAAAGTGACCAACATAAAAAGCCCAGTTTGTCCTCCCGTCTCTCTGAAAAACTTCAAGCCTCGCTTAACAATGGAGAGCATGATGATGATTTTAAGAATGACAGGAAGCGTATTCGTACACCAGGCACAGAGCAGAAGGTACAGCAACAAATATCTTCTATTTCTGTGACATTATTGGCTTGTTGAGTCTTGTCTAAACCCTTTTTTCTTTTTTCTGCAGATCAGCAAGCGAAGATGTCTTGAGAAAGGAGTGATTTACATTGACGACGACGATGAAGAAGAGGAGAGTTTGGAGAGACCAGTGCCTGGGGCTCAGACTTGGACCATGGAATTGAACAACGGAGCCAGAGCTGACAGTTGCCAGTCGCAGCCGCAGTGTTGTGTGAGTGCACCACCTCAGACACATTTTCTACTCTTATCTCTAATTTGAAGAATATGATGTAATAAAGTGTCAAAATAGCCATGAAGTGCCCTGTTTGATGTTTCTCGGCATTGCATCATCCAATATCCGTTTAAAGGATTTTTCATCCAAAAATGAAACGTCTGGCATCATGAAGCCTCATGTAGTTCTAAAGCACTATGTTAGTGTTCTGTGGAACACAAGAACATATTGTGAACAATGTTAATACCCTGGCAGAGTTGGTGACTATTGAATATGTTTGTGTGGAGAGTGAGGTATTTCTCAAATTTTGTTCTTTTATGTTTATCGTAAGGAACAAAAACTGTATACATATGGGCTTAAAACAACCAAGTCTCGTTTTGTTCAGTATATGATAATAGAATCTCCATTTTTTTTAAACCATGCTTTTAATCGATATACTTGAGCCATTTTGCTATGGATCTGACTTAAGTAGAATTTTATTTACCAATTAAATCATATAAAACAATGTTATAATATTTTTTTTAGTTGAAACCTATTTTTTTTATAAAGTTACCGGTATATTCTAAATATAATTTTATGTGTTGAGTTTTATTATTGTTGACCACTGGGTGGCAGCAGAGGATGATTTATTTCAAACAATCATGTTTGTTGCTGGATTCAATGGAGTTTTTTTTTCACACTGCTGTTTAATACATTGTTATTATCTGCATTATCTCTTTAATTACTGGAATTTGATAGCTGCTGTGCTATAACAAATCATTTGACCCCAGATTAATTGTACAATACACATACAGAATGCACTTTTTGTAATTACTGATGGCATTTCTTCCAAATTTAAAAAACAGAATTGTCATTTAGAGCTTTTTTGCATTAATTAAATTTGTAAAGGTGCCATGTTTTAATGTTTATGTTCACTTTTAAACAGCACAAACATTTTATTAAATGACCAATTGCATTTTGTTTATAATTACAGTGTTTTTATTATTTTATTTAATATTTTTTTATTTCATTTAATAGAACAGTGTTCTTACGATCATGGGAAACCTTTATAAGTCATGGAATTTTGACATTGCTTTTTACAGGTCTGGAAAACATTAAATTTACATTTAGTCATTTAGCAGACATTTTTGTGCAAATCGACTTAAGCTGCGGTCACATCAGAGCTTGTGCTTGCTAAACTCTGTCGTACGGTGCTGCAAAAAGGGGCGGGTTAAACAATATGATTAGACATTAATAAAAGTGAGCGATTGCTCCATATTTAAATCTGTCTTCTATTGGACTCACGCAATCACATGACATAATATCGAAGGTAAGAATTCACCAAACTTTCAAATGCAGTGGAATGCAAAACACATGCTTGCGTTTCTGGTCTGCCGCATTTGCATGCCTATAAATCGAAGTCTATGGAGTGAAAAGTGCAGTTTGATCGCGGCTTTATAATAGAAGTAGTTTTACCTACTATTACTAGTTTAACAAACTATTAAGATTATCTAAAATAAGTTTTACAAATATATGTGTACTGGAATGGAGGTTAGTTGTTTTTTCTTTTCTTGGCCAAAAACATGCTCTCACATTATTAGTGCCGTTTAAGCATCATGTATTTTACATAAATCTAAGAATAAATTGAAACTATTGCATGTTTTATGATGTGCCGTAATAGATTTAAATGTTTCTTATGATTTATGTACATGTAGACATTACATGCAACATTAGGTCATGAAAATTGACTTGAAAGTCCTGGAACAGTCATCGAATATTTGTAGTAAAAATGTGTATGAGCTCTTTGGAACAAGTCTTCCATTTAGACTTTTCCATATGATAACGACTTTTTTTTTTTTTATTATTATTATTATTATTTTTTTTACACATTCAGGCCGGCCTGTCGTCTGGGTCTGTCACACTCATACACTACAGACAATTTAGCCTATCCAATTCCCCTGTAGCATGTCTTTGGACTGTGGGGGAAACCCATGTGAACGCAGGGAGAACATACAAACTCCTCACAGAAATGCCAACTGAGCCGAGGTTCGAACCAGCGACCTTCTTGCTGTGAGGCAACAGCACTACCTACTGCGCCACTGCTTTGCCCCGATAAAAAAAAAAACAAATGTGAACATTTTTTTTTTCTCCCAGTTTCTTTGAATTTATTTAGAGTGGGTTTGAGTAAAATGTGGACATGTGAGCATAGCGTGATGTTAAAACAATGGCTACTACTGAAATAATATAGATTAATAATACATTTATAGATGTTTGGAAATAATAGAGTCCCTATATTTCAGTTGACAGACCTTATAGTAAATGACCTATGCACTTTGAACTATTATTCAAAATCTGATAAGTTATAACCTGAAATAAACAGTTTGCACTTCAAAAAATTTCGTCAGCCAGACATCCTCTTCCTGTGTGGTTATTTTGAAGTAGGCCTCCACGATATTAGAAAATCTAACATTGCGATAGTTTGTTATTCTGCTATTATATTTGAAGATTTGAATACAATTTCACCAGATGACTTAAATAGTTCTATTTAAAATATATATTTTATATTAGCTAATTGATTGGAATAATTCTGTAGTTGCATCTGCATAAAACCTAATAAACCATCTCTGGAAACATAGAAAAATACAATAAATAAAAAGACACAACAGAAATTAGCCATTATTTATTGTTTTCCGAGGAGTCCAACAGTATTCAGGGACAGTAATTAAATAGTCAAATGTAAAAAAAATATTGCATAGCCTTTGTTCTTGAATAATAATTCAATCAAAGTTATTGTTATTAAGGTTACAATTGGTACAGTTTCTTATGCCTGGATGCTTTTAAAATCCTCATACAGTCAAATGCATGCAAATTATGAATAATCCAGAATCAATATGCAAATCCTGCAATGTGACTGATGTGAATGATCACATTGTGATATCGATGTTGAACCGATATATCATGCAGCCCTATTATGAAGCTTGTTCACTTGACTTACTAAAGTCTGTTACAAAAGCCTATAAAATGTTGCTCAGCATCTCTATCCACTGCATGAGGCCACTTAGAAAATCTGATGCAGTGTAACAAACACCACAGGTATTCACATGACCAGTGGTGAAAAGAATCTGTGTTGGTGTGATCGGCCCGTCACACCGTAGGACATATTGCTTACAACTGGTACAATGGAAAAGGGAGTGACTTGCGTGATGCGTTCCTCAAGATTGGTGGAGTGTCACCAAAGAGGGCGGCCCGATGGGTGTGTTGGATGGGCGGTGGGGGCGAAGAGAAAGCAGGCCTTAGGTTTCACTCTCTCACCTGACACCGTTCTCGGCCCCTGCCAGCGCTGACTGACATCTTCAATGGGCCCTTTGAAGCGAGCTCCAGTTTAATTAAGAGGTTTGCCTTGCTTGGCAGTGATCTGTGAAAGCCTGGGATAAATATTGAATGGGGTTCACCCGCTGGTTACGGCGCTCCGGGGATAAACAGGTGCTTTGTGAGATTGGGGATTTGCGGGGTGGGAGCGCTCCGGGGCAGCTATCAGGAGGGCTATAGGGAGTAAAGACCTCACTGAAATGCTTCACTCGCTGTCTCTGTCTCTCGCCCGCTATCTCTTTCTCTCTCTATGTCCATCTGTATGGTGCGGGTGCAGTGGCCCAGGCAGGCGGACAGTGTGAGATTTCAGTCTCTCAGGTGTCAGCCTCTCAGAGTCAGCCTGTTGAAATGCAGTCTCCATTGTTGGCGCTCACACTCGGGCCTGCATCTTCCAGCACAGGGCCATTGTAGAGCGCAGACAATCTAGCCTCACCATCTCAAACACAGGAGCTGCTCTCTCCACACCTCACCTGGCAAACAGAAATGCCATTGTCTGACAGAACAAGCCCAGCTCTTATAATGTTTTTTGCCAGTAACTGATAAGTACTTGGTGGGATTCTGCACGTCCTCACAAAATAATTTCATGATTTCACTTCTTTGCTGCTTCATCTTAATTCCAGTTTCTTAAGCTTTACACTAAGGCTGCACGATATTGGAAAAAATCTAACATTGCGATATTTTGTGATTCTGAGATATCTATTTCGATATGAATACCTTTTCACCAGATTACTTGATTATCTCTATTTGGAAAGAATTAGCAATTTTAGATTGGTTGTGATGATTCTACAGAGAAGTGCATCTGAATAAAATATAATAAACCATCTAAAAACAGATCAATACAATAAAAAAACAGATGCACTTAAAATAAACAATGTTTTATCATTTTCTTAGTCGAACAGTATTCATGTAGAGTAATTAAATAATAAATTTTCTTTTTGCAATATTTAACCAATTCAATGCTTGTACACAATATTAGTAATTTATTAGGTACAAATGAATGATGAGATGAACTGAATTCTCGGTATCCAATGCAAGAATTACATTCAGGTGGTGTGCACCAACTTTACAATTCCTGACTCAAGAATTTATACCCAGCTGATATTAACAGGTTGAATTTAGTGGAATTCGTCACTTGTCAATCTCCGGCGGCCACAGCCAAAAATACTTCCTCTTCTTCTCTTGTTCAGTTTCAACCCAGTTTCAACCCAACCCAGCTAGCTGCAGAGCTCAAATTCATTTTAGACATTCAGGCCTTTGCATTTCATTCTTTTCATTCTTCATTAGTATGCAAGGCGTATCACACTCAATGAAGAAGTTTGGTTAATTTAGCACCTTAAGCAATAAAAATGTAGTTGTTTAATGAAATGAAAAATAGACAAAATAATAAAAAAGATTTTGCCCTTTTCCTAACAAAAATAAAAATAATTCAATAAATTACAAGTTACAAACAAGTTACAAATTTCTTATCCGTGAATGCTTTAAAAATCATTATAGTCACAGGCATCAAAAACACATGAAAATGATAACTTATAATATATAATATAATAACTCATAGTCATAGAATGATCACATTGCGATATCGATGCTGAAACGATATATTGTGCAGCCTTACTTTACACTAATTATTTTTATTTTATTTCAGATTATTAATA